AAGACTGACACTGCTCACATTCTTGTGGTCCATTGATTAATGGAATATATATTTGCTCAAAATGTATTGATTCACAACCTAATTTATCATTCTCAAAGCAAGTTGACTCAACAACCCCAATTCAATTTGGTCTACCAATGTATCCCTAAGTCCAACTCGACATAACTCTCTCCACCCCACACCTTCATGGATTAAAAATCATTTGACTTGTAGAAGTAGAAAAGTATTAGTTAATGACTTTCCTTCCCGTAAATAGCATGCGCTTGAAAAAAAACACTTCTTGTTTCATACTCTCTTTCTCTCCTTGTCCGTACACACATCTACTGCATGTATGATCCCAATGAACACTTGTTGTTTCATTCTCTCTGTGTTGTTTTTCCTATGCTTCTATATTAACATCAATCTTTCCCTAGGAGGTGATAGCATCAGAGCAAACCAATCTCTCTCTGGAAAAGAGAATCATGTCTTTTGGTGGGACTTTTGAACTGGGATTCTACACGAAATATTTTACTTTTGTACAATTATAACTTCACCTACATTAAATATAGTCGGCCAAATGCTCGAAAAAATGAGAAGGGTTTTTACTTCTTCTTTAAACCACTATAATTAATTTTTTTGGTTTGTAAATTAATGACCAATTAATTTGTAACATTCAACAACTTTGGGGGCTAATTTATGAAATTCGCCCCAGCCCCAAAAATCAGAAGACTGACACTGCTCACATTCTTGTGGTCCATTGATTATTGGAAATTATGGAATACATATTTGCTCAAAATGTATTGATTCACAACATAATTTGTCATTCTCAAAGAAAGTTGACTCAACAACCCCAATTCATTTCGGTCTGCCTTTGTATCCCTAAGTCCAACTTGACATAACTCTCTCTTCCCCACATCTTCATGGATTAAAAATCATTTGACTAGTAGAAGTGGAAAAGTATTAGTACACGACTTTCCTTCTCGTAAATAGCATGCGATTGAAAAAAACACTTTTTGTTTCATACTTTCTTTCTCTCCTTGTCCTACACACATCTTCGGCAGCTATGATCACAAAGAAGACTCGTTGTTTCATTTTCTCCATTTTGTTTTTCCTATGTTTCTATATTAACATCAATCTTTCCCTAGGAGGTGACAGCATCAGAGCAAACAAATCTCTCTCTGGAAAACAGACAATCGTGTCTTCTGGTGGGACTTTTGAACAGGGATTCTTCAAACCAGGTACTTCTTCCAGTTATTATATTGGAATTCGGTACAAAAATATTAGTCCAATGACCATAGTTTGGGTAGCAAATAGGGAGACACCCATTTCAGGCATGAAATCTACAGAACTTAAGATTTTAGATGGGAATTTGGTGCTTATGGATGAGTCCCAGGTTTCAATTTGGTCTACAAATGTAAACTTGACAACCTCAAATTCTGTAGTGGCAGCTCTAGGTGATAATGGAAATTTAGTATTGAGAGACGAGTCAGAACCTAGGACAAGTGAAGGATTTTGGCAAAGTTTTGATAATCAAACAGATACGTTGTTGCCCGGTAGCAAGATTGCCTATAATAAACATACAAAAAATGAGAAAGTCCTCACTTCTTGGAGAAATTCTGAGGATCCTGCACCTGGGCTTTTCTCCAATGAATTAGATCCAAATGGGAGTCAATGCATTATAAGAGGGAATAGAACTAAATGGTACTGGACTAGTGGACGTTGGAATGGGCGTTTTTTCGTTTCAGTCCCCAAAATGAGTCTGTACAATATTTATAATCATATTTATGTTGACAACTTTAATGAGAGTTACTACACTTATTGTCTTAATAATCGTTCCATTAAATCTCGATATGTGATGGATGTTTCCAAACAAATTACAAATCAATCAAATTGAATAGCAGATTTTTTTTTTATTTTTTTTTTATTTTTTATTTTTTTATTTTTTATTTTTTTTTACAGAATGAAAATAAAAAATTTGGAATCCGGGTGTGAACAGTACCCGTGAACAGTACACGAAATTCTTTTTTTTTTTTTTTTTTGCAACTAACTCTGAAAATTAAAGAATAAAATTGCTGCCTTTACCAAAATCCTTTTAATTTGTGCTGTCCCAAGAAAATTTGGGAGAAAAGAAGAGATTTTGGATTGTAAAAGAAAGTACCCAAGATTCGGCTCTGATACCAAATTTGATGTAGGATGAATAAAATAGAAGGAAGAAGGAACGGGGAGGAGAAACAGAGAGAAGGGAGAAGAGGAGAAGAAACCAGAGGAAGAGAGGGAAGGGAGAAAACGGCTGCAAGCCACCAAAAAATATTTCAATTCTAATTCATCATCAACTGTCTCAAATGAGAAACAAAACAGAAATAAATAGCAGAAGATAAACCCTAAAGAGAAGAGTTTGGACCAAACCCACTAAACAAGCCCAATAACCAAAACATAAACAATAGTTCAAATAAAATATAACTAAGAGTCCAAATAGAAAATAAATAATAAATGGATGTCCGCATCAGTGTTCCTTTCTGTAGTTGGGAAAGTATAATAGCTGCTACTGAGTTCTTCAAAGTTAAAGGTAAATAAAAAGTTATTTATTGAAAGGTTATGTTTAATTTTATATTTGTTAGATTGTTAGATTAAATTCAATTTTATAGAAATGGTTAAATATAATAAGTTATGAAATTGAGTTACATGAAAGAAAAATTAGTTTTAGTGATTAAAGAGATTATAGAAATCGCCTAAATATGAAATGATTAAGTTTGGGTATCGTTTATTTAATTATTGAAATTACTTAAAATAGTTAATTGTTGATTTAAAAATTATATCACATTTCAGGCAGCTCTAAGGATATTAAGACAGCTTACCAATTGAGTTGATGTTGGCTATATAGTTTTGTGAGTGGAAAAATATAAATATTTTTAAAGTATTTATAAATTAAGTATATTATTAAAGTATGTGCAATTATGTGTTCGATTATATGATTATTACGAAAATCTCTTATATTATGATACGTGTGGAATCTCAAAGATTATTTATGACACATTTGTGACTTGGTATGTAAAACATGTGATATTGAGATTGGATTGGAATATGAGACGTGATATTGAGATCGACCAGAGAAGTACCCGTAATTATATACTTCTTCTGGTTCACAGAGGGGCCTTGGTCATATTCTATCCTACACGGAGCGGTCTTGACTGGATATTAGTCTTGATCGTGTACATATAATTAACAAAGGGGCCTTGACCGTGTTCTAGAATTGATTATGAGAGGTCTTTGAGATCGGATTTCGTTCACAAAGGGGACCAAAGGCCCGTGGTGAAAGTTTTTAGCCGAAGGGGCAAATTATAGATTTGAGTCAGAAGGTACATTTTTGGTGGATTTTTCAGTATATTTGATATGATGAGATTATAGTATGGTTATCAGTTAATGTTTATAGCTTGACTTTGAGATGACATTTGTGACGTATGTGAATGTCTCACGTTTTGGCTATAATTATATGATATTATCTTGCGAGTCATTCAATGATATGAACTCGATTTTGATAAAAATGTAAAATTGAAAAAGTATAAATATTTTCGAACTTCTCCACTCATTGAGGTATCAACTCATTTATTTTCCCGTAATTTTTCCTATAGGTAGTAATTGATTCTTTTTAGTTTGAAGAGCCTAATGATTTTGGAACGAGAGCTACACGATATATTGAGTGTTATAATTCATATTGGTGAAGCATAAAGTAAATAATTTAGGCCCATCGCATTTGTTATAACTCATATTGGTGAAGTACAAAGTAAATAATTTAGGCCCATCGCATTATGTTTTACATAAGTATTTGATTTTGATGCATTTTTTCAAGTAACTCATAGTTAGCCTTGGTGATAGATTTGATATCTAGTCAGCATCTATCCTCGACGCACGTCACGTCTCGAGTCCACTAGGGTGATTCGGGATGGGTCGTGTCACATGTTGGTAGTTGCAAAATTACATCCTGAAAAATAAAGTAAAATTACTTGGAATGACACAACTCTATCTCACTTTGATCCCCGCAGCAATCAATGTGAGCAAGAGGTTGAAAAAATTATTTATTTACAAAGAGTTGCAAATCAATTATCTAATGTATTTGTTAACACAAGAAAAGTGACAAAGTCATATGTTCCAGTACAAAATATTTCAGCAAAAATTGATGTCCTTGCAAGACAATATGTTGTAACAAATGAATCTCAAATACGTCAGAAGCGTGATTGGCCAATTGATTCAAAAGACTTTGTACCTCGAAAAAGAAAAGTACATGAAAAAAACAATCAAAAACTTCGAAAGAGGTCACATTAGAAAAGATTGATTAATCATATATTGAAAATACGGTTCCTGAAGAACCACAAGTATCTGAAAATAATGAGATTTCAATAAATTATATGTTATCTCATAAATTATGGAAACGAAATAATGTTGTTATAGACAATATTTTCCCCTTTAATATGACTCTTGATATTATACAAAATGAGGATCCTAAACCACAGTCGGTTAAAGACTGTCAAAATAGAAATGATTGGCCAAAATGAAAAGAAGCCATATAGGCGGAATTGAAAGTTTGGAGATTCAAATGTTGAAATTATACGTATCAAATTTGAATTTGGAGATTATTTTTATGGAATTCGAAAGTTGATTAATACATTGGTCTATAGCCATCATGGCAAGTACCGTGCACTTTTCAACATACTTTTATTAATACTTTTCATAATTGAATGATTATAAATTTTCTCGAAGTTGTGAAATATCTGAATTAGTTGATCCACCGAAATAAATATGAAATTCAAAAATAATTTATTTAAATCTTTCAAGGTAAGTGCTTATAAATTTAAATGCAGCCACAACTTTAGAGAAATTTATAAATAAAATGTAAGCTATAATTTTACATGATAATATATTTAATAAGTCATTAATTAAATTCATTTTAAATTAGAAAAGTTATTGTAGTTACTTAAAGATAATTAGATTCAGATATGGTAATCAGATCAAATATGTTTATGTTTGATTTTGATTAATCGATCATATTCGGTAGAAGCTGGTACAGGATCCGAGCTATTAATGGCTCTAGTTACTTTATCCATGAATAAAGAGCCTCAACGTGCTATTTTTCAAAGTCGTGTGTTTGCTATAAAATTAATGTAATTATTTAAGGACTGAAAATTTAATATTTCATAGGAAGTCAAAATATCAAGCCTATTATAAGTTGTTTAATATCATAAATAATGTCAATTTTTGTTATATTCATCCTTTATCAATTCAACGATCAAAAGCAGGCCCGCATTCTTTGACTAGTAGAACAGGAAAAGTATAAGTGAATGGCCTTTCTTCCGTAAATAGCATGTGATTGACAAAAAACACTTCTTGTTTCTCTCTCTCTCTCTCATCTTCTGCAGCTATGATCCCGAAGAATACTTGTTGGTTTATTCTCTCTGTGTTGTTTTTCCTATGTTTCTCTATAAACATCCATCTTTCTCAAGGAGCTGACAGCGTTACAGCAAATCAGCCTCTCTCTGGCAGCCAGACAATTGTCTCATCTGGTAACATCTTCGAACTAGGATTCTTCACACCAGGTACTTCTTCCAGTTATTATATTGGAATTTGGTACAAAAATGTTACTCCAATGACCATAGTTTGGGTAGCAAATAGGGAGACACCCATTTCAGACATGAATTCTGCAGAATTTAAGATTTTAGATGGGAATTTGATGCTTATGGACGAGTCCCAGGTTTCAATTTGGTCCACAAATGTAAACTTGACAACCTCAAATTCTTTAGTGGCGACTCTAGGTGATAATGGAAATTTAGTTTTGAGAGATGAGTCAGAACCTAGGACAAGTGAAGGATTTTGGCAAAGTTTTGATAATCCAACAGATACGTTGTTGCCTGGTAGCAGCCTTGCCTATGATAAACGTACAAGAACAAAGAAAGTTCTCACTTCTTGGAAAAACTCTGAGGATCCTGCACCAGGGCTTTTCTCTTTTGAATTAGATCCAAATGGGAGTCAGGTTATTATAAGATGGAATAGGACTGAATGGTACTGGACTAGTGGAGCATGGAATGGGCTCTTTTTCAGTTTAATCCCTGAGATGAGGCTGAACAATATGTATAATCATAGTTATGTTGACAACGTTAATGCGAGTTACTACACATATTCTCTTTATAATCCTTCCATTAAATCTCGATACGTGATGGATGTTTCCAGGCAAATTAAGCTGACATCATGGAATACGAAGGAGTGGGATTTTTTTGGTTTCAACCTAGGCAAAATGTGATGTGTATGCTTATTGTGGGGCATTTGGTAGCTGCAA